TGTATGTATGTATGTATGTATGTACGTACGTACGTATGCATGCATGCATGTATGTATGTATGTATGTATAAATGTATGTAATGTATGTAATGTATGTAATGTATGTAATGTATGTAATGTATGTAATGTATGTAATGTATGTAAGGTATGTAAGGTATGTTATGTATGTTATGTATGTTATGTATGTTATGTATGTTATGTATGTTATGTATGTTATGTATGTTATGTATGTTATGTATGTATGTATGTATGTATGTATGTATGTATGTATGTATGTATGTATGTATGTATGTATGTATGTATGTATGTATGTATGTATGTATGTATGTACTATGTTATGTATGTTATGTATGTTATGTATGTTATGTATGTATGTATGTATGTATGTATGTAATTAATGTATGTAATTAATGTATGTAATTAATGTATGTAATGTATGTATGTATGTATGTATGTATGTATGTATGTATGTATGTATGTATGTATGTATGTATGTATGTATGTATGTATGTATGTATGTTTTTTTGTTTTTGTTTTTATGTATGTATGGTATGTATGTATGTTCTGTATGTATAGTATGTGTGTGATATATGGTATGTATGTGATGTAGGTTATGTATGTATGTTATGCATGTATGCATATTATGTTCTGTATGTTTCGTTTTAAATGTTATGTGTGGTATGTATGTAAAGTATGTAATGTATGTAGTGAATGTATTGCATGTAATGAATGTCATGAATGTAATGTCTGTAATGCATGCAATGTATGCAATGCATGTAACGTATGTAATGTATGTAATGAATGTATTGTATGTAATGTATGTATGTACTGTATGTAATGTATGTCATATATTTAATGTATTAAATGTATGTAATGTATGTATTATATGGAATGTATGTATGGAATGTATGTAATGTGTGTAATGTATGTATATTATGTTATGTATGTAGTGTATGTAGTGTATGCACTGTATGTAATGCATGTAATGCATGTAATGTATGTAATGTATGTAATATATGTAATGTATGTAATGCATGTAATAAATGAAATGTATGAAATAAAATGAAATGTAATGTGATGTGGTGTGTTGTGATGTGATGTAGTGTATGCATGTATGTAAATATATATATATGCATGTATATGTATATGTATCTGTATATGTACATGTACATATGTATATGTATACGTATATGTATATTTGTATGTGTATGTTTATGTATATGTATATGTATATGTAAATGTATATGTATATGTATATGTATACGTACATATAGGGTTATTTATGAAACGTGGTGACTGAAGCCGATGGTTGATGGTTGTATCTACGTTATACATGCTTTGATAATCAACAAACATGCTCAACGACTGCAGTTTGTGTTCTATCCGTCCTCGGCCCTTTTGCAGCTGCATAGGCCACTCGGTGGCCAAGTACCATGCAGAATTGTATGAAAACAAAGATATAGAACCGAAAAATTGTCTATTTATTCGTTTCTTTATCCCTTATTATTACTTTGTGATTTGTTATTCATTGTCATATATGATGTAACATGGACGAGTAATGCAAATTGATGATTGCACAGATGGATAGATATAGGTACGGTAGATATAGGTAGATAGATATGATATAGCATTGGTTGCACTCCACGCTTTGGATACCCAGTGCACAAAACAGGTCACACTTGACAGAATCGATGGTCGCAAAGTCTTTCTGCAAGGCGTGGCAGCCTCCAACGGTGAGGAAAGATCAGGAAGGTACAATGTGGTGCCCACCAATTATGTTTATTGGCTTACAACCCCTATCAAACAGTTCGAGATATCCATCATTATCTACCATACCTCTTAGTTATTGGGGGTTACAAACCAACTTGGCTATCTTAGGGGCCCCACATTTGAGTCAAGCTTGGGGAACCCGGGATTATGAAATATCAGCATTGAAGGGGTAGTTGGATCATTTTCTGATGGGTTTTTAGGCCATTTGCTGATCGAAAAGGAGAATGGTTTGCTGAAGACCTGTGAAGGGACCGCGTTGTTTCTAGAGCTGAAGCAGGACTGGCCTCAGCCTTGATGGATTCGCCCCGGTGCCGCACAGAAGATCCGTGTGGCATTTGAACGGCCCGATTGAGATGTGAAAAAACGAGCGTGCCTTTCCAGTGGGTTTCCTTGTGGGAAAATAATGATGCCTTTCCAGTCATATCTAAGGTTTTGAGTTGCTTGGCGAGATCCGCATCAGGAACCTTAGTCCCCACTTGGTAGTATGCTGTCAACCAACTCAGCCAACATCTGTCAATTACACTCAGGGATCACCATCTCACTTTTCATTAGAGTCAAATGTCAATGTACCTGTGTATCCATATCTATCAACACCAAGCTACACATGGATGAATTTGCACTTTATAATACAAATTTAATTTACAATCAAAATATAGATGGTTCTGAGTTCCTCACCCCCCGTAGATGGTTGCTTTCCTGTAGTATGGTCCGGATATTTTTGGAGCATATTATAGGTAGTACCACACGAGGCAAAAACAATAACACACAATCATATATGGGTCACGGTAGGGAACTCACACTTAGAAAACAACTTTCCCATTGCTTCAACTCTCCCGCCAGCCAACATCATACATTTACGCATGTATGTATATATATATATATGTATACAAATAAACAAGATAGTAACAGATATATCTATAATAATTATATCCCTCTCTATCTTTATAGAGCTTAACTTCAGTTTAATCATAGTACATCTCTATAAACATCTATATGGTTTGAATATATATATATATATTCATTTTTAGCACCATTGACCACTATTGGCTTCTACATGGTCAGTTTAAATCTTCTCAGGAGCTCCGTGGCCGGAACTTGCACTTCGAATGCCGCGAGGTTAGCTCCGGTGGCGACAGTGAAATCAACAAGTGGCTCGGTGAAGGGCACAGGGCCCTGGTGTGAAAACATGGTGAAAGTAAGGAATTCATCATGAAAAAGGGTGACTTAAATGTGAAAACATATATGAAATCATGGATTTAATCATGACACACTAATTTCAGTCACAAAAATGGCACCAAACATTCAGATTTGACCAAAATTGGACATGATGGGGCTTAGATTCATTGGTAAAACGAGGATTATTCCAGCTCCGTACTGGTCAGCCATTGGCTAAGAGCTGACATAATTCCAGATCCACGATTTTTCCTTTTTCATGATGGGTAAACGGGGATACATTCCAGATTAAAAATCACCAGGATTAGTGTTGGAAACCACCAGGATTTGAAGATATGCCAAGAGATGATCGGGATGACAGACTTGAAGGTAGGATCTGTGGTGGTTTCAGATGTGAAATCCAGCTGCGATGGTGAAAAGATGGTTTTGGGCAGATCCTGAAAGCCATAAATCCAGCATGTGTGTAAAGCCCCCAAACACCACTGAGATATTTCATGCAATATAGCCAATTCATAGCCATGGATCTGAATTACAGTTGGGATTATCGAAGTATACAATTACTCCACTTACCAACCATTTGCTCCATTTACCAAACATCAAATCCCAAGTAAGGAGTGGTGCCCCTGGAGTTATAAGTTGGTTTATAACCTATGAAGTATAGATACAACACCCATGAACCCAGCAGTCGTTGGAATTTTCAAACCAACTTAGCCAACATAAATCAACTATACCCTCTGGTAAACTAACATAACTATGGAAAATCACCATTTTCAATGGGTAAATCCACTATAAATCACCGTTTTCAATAGCTATGTTTGTTTACCAGAGGCTAATTCGATATACACATTAAACCCCATTAGATCTCAAGAAATCACGGTAAATCCTTAGTTTTGTTGGTTTTCATCACCATTTCTCCTCTGGTTTCAGCATGGCGCGAAAAAAAGGCTGTCGTTGTTGATCGACATTGGGGGCCTAGTGGCTTCGCTGGGAGCATTGTGGTTTGGGATCTCAGTGGGTTGTCAATGGTTCCCAGATGGGCAAATCAAGGTATTTTGGTGTCATAATTTGGGCTACCCTCTGGTAAACTGTTACATAACTATGGAAAGATCCACCATTTTATAGCTGGGAAAATCCACTATTTCTATGGTCATTTTCAATAGCTATGTTAAATTACCAGAGGGTAATATCAATGTAGTGGGCTATAATGGCATATCATAATATAGTTATATATATATATATTATACCATGTGATACCATATTTATATACCATTATCATAATTTTCATAATGGGGTTTAATGATAAGCTCTGTGTTGGGCTACCAATCATCTTCATAATATAGTTCATTATATCATGTCTCCATGTTGGTGATATACTCCACAATAACATGGGCTGATAAAATATAAAACTCCATTGTATCTAACAATGCGGGCTGATGCTGGGGATATACAATGTGGTGCCCCCAAAGATCGCTAAGTTGGTTTGTAAGCCCATTAACTAGTTCGAAGAATAATCACTAGTTAGCCACTATTGACTAAATAAGAACCACTATTAATCACTGTTGATCACTATATTCCCTTACATAGTCAGTTTAAATACTACACTAGGTCTAATGTTATAATCTGGATATATCATTATGATATAACAATGTAGGACTAATGATAATAACACGGGCCAATAATGATAAGCTCTGTGTTGGGCTACCAATCATCTTCATCGAAGGAAGTTTAGAAGTCAAACTTCCGACAATATGGACAGATGAAAAGAAGAGATGGAAAGGGACAGAGAGAAGAGAAAGATTAGAAGAGAGAAGCGTAGAAGAGAAAGATCAGAAGAAAGAAGATGCAGGTGCGCGAAAAGGTAGGAAAGTCGCGAAACACCGTGTTTTTCCAATGTTTTGTGGCTCCGGAGGGTCGAAAAGTAGGCTCGCTAAAGCGGCGGGTGCGGAGCCAGCTGGCCAGATGAGAGATGAAAAATTGCACGCCGTTGTGGCGCGAAGCACATTTCCAAGTCAAAATGTACAAAACACACCATTGTCGGACCACTTTTGGAAGTTGCAATGTCGAAAAAGTGCACGCCGTTGTGGCGCGAAGCAGATTTCAAAGTCAAAATGTACAAAGCACACCAGGTCCGGACCACTTTTGGCAGTTGAGATGTCGAAAAAGTGCACGCCGTTGTGGCGCGAAGCAGATTTCGAAGTCAAAATGTTAATAACACCAGGGGTTCGGACCACTTTTGGAGGTTCAGATGTCGAAAAAGTGCACGCCGTTGTGGCGCGAAGCATATTTCGAAGTCAAAATGTTAAAAACACCAGGGGTTCGGACCACTTTTGGAGGTTCGGATGTCGAAACAGTGCATGCCGTTGTGGCGCGAAGGACATTTCGAAGTCAAAATGTTAAAAACACTAGGGGTTCGGACCACTTTTGGAGGTTCAGATGTCGCTTCGCTTCACTACACTACACTACATAACATTACACTACACTACACTCCAGTACAGTACATTACACTACACTCCAGTACACTCCACTACGCTAAATTACACTACACCACACTACATTACACTAAATGACACTGCACCACAGATAGACAGGTAGACAGATAGATAGACAGATAGACAGGTAGACAGCTAGACAGATAGACAGATGAAAGAGAGAGAGAGATAGATAGATAGATAGATAGATAGTCAGAAAAAGAGAGAGAGAAAGAGAGGAGACCTCAAGCACCTTTCGGTCCATCAGTGGATTCGCTCTGCCATCCCGGATTCACAACAACCAAGCTCTCCTATAGGTTTCCTATTTTTGAAACTTCCGCCACCGCCTTGTGCGGTACTACTGGTAATATAGTTCATTATATCATATCTCCATGTTGGTGAAATACTCCACAATAACATGGGCTGATAAGAATAACTCCATTGTATCTAACAACGCGGACTGATGTTGGGGTATATTGGAGATATAGTGGAGATATAATGGGATCTAACGGGGAGATGGCGGAGATTTGTGTTCGTACTGATAATATGACTTTGGGCCGTGTCTGAAAATGAGGGATTACCCCACATGTTGGTAAACCATTTGAATTTAGGGATGCCAAAATTTCAGACAAACCTGGATTCGGTTGGAAATTGCAGAAGTGGTGAAACATGGCAATGGACCACTTTCATCCACTTTCCATTTATAGATGATCTTACCATAAACATCTCCATTGGGGATTTCCCAGCCATTGATCACCTTCAGGGTCTTCCAAGATGGCTCTTTTTGGGACCAATCGAACAACCTCCGTTCCCAGCGAGGTACCTCTTCAAGACCAACAGCCAAGGCAGCTTCACGGCCAAGCATTTGGAGGCCGTTGAGGGAAACTGGTGGCAGGTCGGAAGCTTTGAGTATGTAATCCCATGTAATCCCATCAATCCCGTCCGCTTTCATTTTCTCTACAGAAAGTACAGGCCTCCAAGATGCACTATTTAACCAGAGGCTTCCGGGGGGCTAACTTGATAGGGGATTGCTGATTTTCAGGGAGCCTCACAGTGAAATGCCAGCTTTGATGCAATTTGAAGATGTATGGAATCTTCCAGGGGATTTGTGACTATGTTACCATCTAGTTGTAGCACGTTTACTATCATTTATTTGTCTTCCCCAGCAATCACAGATAATCACAGTGTTTCCCCAAAAAATCATACACCCATTGTTTTTCTACTGCGAAATGCTGAAAACTTGTGTCTACCACGACACCCCATAGCCATGGTAAGGAGAGCAAGGATTTGAGTCGTCAACCTTCGGTGACCTTTGCGGACGTGGCAGGTGGGGTGCCACCATTGAAATGTCGTGGAATTGGTAGAGCTGGTGCGAAAAAAGCTGGATCTTTATTTTATATCGATATATGAAGTACCTTCTGGTAAACTAACATAACTATGGACAAATCACCATTTTTAATGGGTATATCAACTATTTCTATGGCCATTTTCAATAGCTTTTTGTATGTTTACCAGAGGGTATACAATGTGGTGCCACGAAATATTCCAGGCATGGAGGGAACTAAGGAGGAGCTGTTGGGAGCCAAGGGGAAGATGTTCGGTTTGGGAGCCGAAAATCTGTGGCTTTTGTGATGTTTTGTTCACAGAATTTTACGACATATTTAAAGCCCCAGAACATAGTAAATCTAGTGACCTAATGAACTTTTAAATAGTGATCAGATGTGACAAAAATGACTTTTTCTGTTTTTTTTTTTTTTTTCGGTGGTAGTTAATATGGTAATCCATTTCAAGACTAAGTCATTAAATATCACCCATATGGTCCCTATCCCCACATCTCAATCCAGTGGCGGCACCAAGGCAGGAGGTCATTGCCTACTTGCGCCAGCCCGGCGAAGCTTGTGGTACTTGGAACGGAGATCCAGGGGACCCAGTTTCAGTTTAGCAAGATGGATATGAAATTTCCAAGCGCTTGATGAATGGACTATCCCCAGAAAAATATATGCCTTGTGGCTTAGAAACCATTCACTTGTTGGCAAGTTGTCAGATAGGATGGGAGAATTTGCATCCATTGAATTCATGTTTCTCAAAATTGGATGAACAAAATTCCACACTGCCACACTTCCCCCATCCGAAATGAGCGCTGGCCAGGCGACCCTGACAGATTCTATGCTCTTGGCCAGGGGCCCAAAAAAGTCCCCAGGGCGGGTAGCTGGACGTCTTTGGAGCTAAGAGGGTTCCAAATCCGAAATGGGGGTACACCAAATCATCCAAGTCAATTTAGTTTTGAAACCCATGGTGACTTGGGGACCCCCCATTCTATGAAACCATATGAAACCCACATTTTAGGGGGAAACAACACACACACACACACTTGTATACATAGATAAACATCAAATTTCGGGGCACCCTATTTTCAGACAAATCCATTTTAGAGTTTCAGTTATTGTGTGGGTGTCTATCCCACAAGCCAATTGGTGGTGGGACTGGGCACCCAATCCGCCCAGATTTCATGGGGACCTCCAAGACCCATCAGAACCATTGTGGTTGTCGTTTTCCCAAGATTATTCTACCAAAAGGTACCGCACGGTCGGTGGTGGTGGAAGTTTCAAAAATAGGAAACCTATAGGACAGGTTGGTTGTTGTGAATCACGGATGGCAGAGCGAATCCACTGATGGACCCGAAGGTGGTTGGAGTTGTGCTTTTTGAAATGGTTGCAGTGGTCACCTCACCACAACTGCTGGATGTAGCGTGGTGTAGTGCAGTTGTAGTTGTAGTTGTAGTGTAGTGGAGTTGTAGTTGTGTGTAGTGTCGTCAGTGTAGCGTAGTTGCAGTTGTAGTTGTGGTGTGGTGTAATGAATGTAGTTAGTTGTAGTTGTAGTTGTAGTTGTAGTGTAGTGTCGTGTAGAATAATTAGTGTAGCGTAGCGTTATGTAATGTAGTCGTGTAGTTGTAGTTGCAGCTGCAGTTGTAGCAGCAGTTGTAGTGTACTGTGATGAGTGTAGTGTAGTGTAATTAGTGTGGTGTAATGTAGTGTAATGTATTTGTAGTTCTAGCTGTAGTAGTAGTGGTAGTGGTAGTGGTAGTGGTAGCTGTCTGTCTGTCTGCCTGCCTGCCTGTCTGTCTGTCTGTGTCTGTCTGTGTCTGTCTGTGTCTGTCTGTCTGTGTCTGTCTGTGTCTGTCTGTGTCTGTCTGTGTCTGTCTGTGTCTGTCTGTGTCTGTCTGTGTCTGTCTGTGTCTGTCTGTGTCTGTCTGTGTCGGTCTGTGTCTGTCTGTGTCTGTCTGTGTCTGTCTGTGTCTGTCTGTGTCTGTCTGTGTCTGTCTGTGTCTGTCTGTCTGTCTGTGTCTGTCTGTGTCTGTCTGTGTCTGTCTGTGTCTGTCTGCCTGTCTGTCTGTCTGTCTGTCTGTCTGTCTCTCTCTCTCTCTCTGTCTCTGTGTCTGCAAGTTTGAGAACGAAGCTATTCTGCGAGACTTCCTCAGTTTGAACTTGACAACATCAAAAACACAGCAATTCTGCGAAACCTCGATTTTCGAAGTTGACAACGTCAAAACCGAAGCAATTCTGCTAGACTGCTAGACTTCCTCAATTTTCGAAGTTGACAACATCAAAAACGAAGCAATTCTGTGAGACTTTCTTAAAAAATGGAAAGTTGAGTGCAGAGCTGACGGCCTCGTACTAATGCGTTTTGCGATTTTCCATTCCATCGGTCTAAAACATTGCACCTGCCACGAAAAAGTTAGGCTAGGTCATACGAAGTGCTGCACCTGGCACGCAAAATCATCTTGGCAAACCTGAAGATCTGATGCTACAAAATTCAACCCCTCTCAGGAAATAAGCGCCCTGACCTCCTAACATGTCTGTTGGAGATGTCTCTTATAATGTGCCTCTTTGCAGATCCTCTCAAGGTCCGAGACCGTCTCGTCAGTTTTTAACACTTTTGACTTGTGAATGTGCTTGGCACCACAACGGTGTGCAGTTTTTCGACATCTCAACCTCCAAAAGTGGTCCGAACTTGAACCTGTGGTGTTTTTAGCATTTTGATTTTCAAATGTGCTTCGCGCCACAGCCGCGCACACCTTTTCGAAATCTCAACTTCCAAAGGTGGCTCGGAGCTGCGGTGTTTTTAACATTTCACTTCCAAATCTGCTTCGCGCCACAACTGCGTGCAATTTTTGATCTTTCATCCTGTCACATGGCTCCGCACCCGCTCTTCTCTGATCTTCTTTCTTCTCACTCTTTCGCTTCTCTGACTCTTCCCACCTCTTCTGCTTCATCTGCCCATATTATCGGAAGTTTGAAGTCTAGATTTCCTTCGACCATAAGAAATTATGAACAACATCAACCCCTAGTATGGTTGGTCTTGCATTGCCATTTTTGTTGGTTAACTTGCGCCATTGAAATTTAGTTTCTGGTAATCAAACGTGGTTTGCTGGAAAAACCTCAATTGTAGATGATTCTCCCAGCTATAAATCCCAATTTTTTACGGGATTTCTCATCATCCAACCATTATTTATTAGTTAAATCCACTTATATTTTGATGGTGAAAACCAAACTTGAATGATCAATCATTAACCAACAGAGGTTTGAGGACACCAGAGGGTAATGAAACAACTGGCTTCAGGCGCCCAGCCGCCCCGTGGCATCCTCCTTGCGGGACCCAGCGGCACTGGCAAGACGCTGATGGCCAGGGCAGTGGCTGGCGAGGCTGATGGGATGATCAATGCTGATTTTTCATGGAACACCAAAGATTTTTCATATGGACCAGCAGGAATCTCGGTTTGGGTACCCAGCAGGAACATCTTAATTTGATCGGGTGGTAATAGCTGTAAGAAACTTCCATCGCAGCTGAATCACTTCGACCTGCAACATTTGGAGTATGTCAGTTCAGGTGGTAGATCGTTTATTCATGTTTATCCTCTTACTATCTCATGATTTACAGTTTTGTTTTGGTACAGATACCGTTACCAGAGTTTTCAGATGGCGCCAGGCCGGAGTGCCCTTTTTGTATGCCAGTTCGGCCTCCTTTGTGGAGATTTTTGCCAGAAACCCAGTGTTTTTGTTTTTCTGTGGTGTGGTGAGTTGTAGATCTTCATCCATAGGATCTGTGGTTTATAAGCTGGCTATGTACATATATATATGTATATGTATATGTATATGTATATGTATATGTATATGTATATGTATATGTATATGTATATGTATATGTATATGTATATACATGTATAACCACCACCTTTTAGCCCTGTTTCTGTTTGTGGGTTAGGCAAGAAATTTTCTGGGACATATTTCACCTCACTATTAGCCCCACGTGTTCCAAAAGAGATGGGGGGGCTTCCGGATGCCACGTTCAGCCTAGAAATATTTCTGGAACCACTCCCACTTAGATTGCAGATGCTGGGATGCTCATGCATTCCGAAGAGAGCGAAATCCAATTTTTAGGGAAACATGTCCATCAGGGCAATGACCCCAGAGCCTCAATTCCATCTGGCCCCAGCTGAACATGAAACCAACCTGTGAAGAGTGAAGTGACAAAAATCGATGTAACATGAAATCATCCAAGGGACAAGGATTTGTTTTGTGGGGGGACGTGTGACAGCTGTGAGGGTCCCCACTTTGAGTTTCCCAGGTGGGCCAGGGAGCCCTGAGGATCCGACAATTCTTTGAGCAGGTGACGGGGGGTGGCTTAATACAACGACCAATTTTGTGGGTCTAATGCTATGGATCCGAACCCTGGCATGCCAGTGACCAGGAAAAAGCATGTTGCCATAGAGCGACTTTGGGATGGTCATTTCCCCATTACTTGCGGTTTGCTTAGGTATAGAATTCTGACCTATAGCCGAAGGCTGGGTGCAATGGCTGCACTCCAGACTGAATTGGGATGGGTCAAAATCGGTCAAAAGTCAAAACTTTATATTGGTGCTTATCATCTTATCAGCCAACCAGTACAAAGGGCACTGGTGCATCCCCTGGTCTGACGGTCAGGCTCGCGCCTGTGCACCTTGCATTGTTTTCCTGGATGAGCTTGATGCCGTGGGTCACTTTTTTTTTCGAAAGTGGGGTGCTGCGGGCTCTTCCGGTCGTCTTGGAGTCTTGGTGTCTGAAACGGGGTAATTTTGTCTTGTCTGACCAGTTGATGTGCCAATGGGATTTTGTAACCAGATCCCTTCTGAAATACCGCCCGGATCTAGCCAGGTGCAATGTCGAGCTCGAGGTGAAATAGAACTCACCAGATAGGTCATTTACGCAATGCTTGTAGGTGACATCGATGCAATCCCCTGTTCACACTAAGCTGCGCAGAAAGCCATGAAGCGTAGTTTTTTGTTGGGGATGAAACCACATATGTGGGACCATAGAATGGGGGTGTTTAATATGAACGAGGGGTGGGATTACACATGATTGATCTGCTAATCTCCATGTTGCTTATCTCAAATTCAAATTCTTTGTTGAGCAAACCTTGTTGAAGCCTCAGTAGTGGGCTCTCCAATACTGAATTTTCCCGAATCCTAATTTTTGAGTGGTCGGATGCCTCATGTTGGTAGGTTTAAACTGGTGAAATGCCACCCATTTGTCAGATCCAACGAACCAGATCCCAACATTTCATGACATGGTCAGGTCCCGTGGTTTTTGCTCGTTAAACTGATGACATCGCCCGATTTCAATCGCCCGATTTCAATCGCCGCCTGAGGCTCCTCGCGCCAGATGTCCGCTTCGGGTGGAGGTGGCAACCAGGTGACCGAGCTAGATTTCAACGTGAAAAATGTGTTTTATTTTGGCAAAGAAAGGGCTTTTGGATCATTAAAGATGGAGATTTTCGCACGGACCCGGAACCAAAGATGTTGATTGACCAACTGGATATGGAGATCTGATTTGATGACCGGGCGCCTAGGAGTATGCCCAAACGCTCAACCAGTTGCTACTCGAGTCCCTTCCTTGGCGGCGAGTTGGGGCTTGGGCCGGGCGGACCATGGGGACCGAATTTAGGGGTAGTTGGTGCAGCTAGTTCACCCCATTTTCTGGTAGTAGGGCTCCGAAAGTCAGGCTTGATGGCGTGGAGAGCAATGCCAATGGTGCCACCGTCGCGGAGGGGTGAGTCATGAGCTATGGCGGCTAAGGGCCGTGGGGAGGGGAATGAAACTTTTTTTTTGGGACTCATAAGCGAAATCATCCTGGGAGCCTAAGGAAGAAGCATAGGGGACTTCTAATTCTAATTCAGTGCCTTTTGTCACCAAGAAAATATGACTTGAGAATCCCATAGGTCTTTCTCCAAGGTAGGAGATAGATGAGCTTAAGTAGGTGAGAGTAGCTTCGGTCCCTGGCCTGAAAACTCTGGCCGATCAGAGCAGGTATCAGAACTAGAGATATTTGGATCTGACCTTTTCCTGATGGTTCCTATCGGTTTATCGTCACTTTCTTACGACAATTACAAGGGTAGCCTCCGTATTTTGAGGGAGCAGGCAGTGGAAGTTGCAGTGCCATGTTTTGCTCGTTTGCCTTTCGACAGCGCACAGAGGGCATCAATGTGTTGCATAGCAGCTGCCCTCAATTTGTCAACCAATCTCAAAGTGAGCTTCACTGCCAGGAAATGCTAGGAACGTCCGGTTCGACAAAATCGCAGGCTTTTCTATGCGGAGTAAAACTGTCAAATCTGTAGCCGCTTTGATGCCATCCAGTGGATTCCAGTGGATCATGGACTGAAAAAGACCGTGAAGGACTGAAGTGTTTGGGGGACTACCAAACACTATTTGGCAGAGGTATAGCAGGTATAGCGCCATAAACAGGGCAAAAAAACTGACATTGACATCGCTTTGCCGGATGGCTCGGGATGCTGGAATCTTAGTAGTGACTCACTTGGATGATTGATCCAAAATGATTCAAACATCTAGACTAGGATGATATACCGAACCGCACACATCGGCGGGTCTTTAATCAGAGGTCAGAGTATGGTGCGCAAAATTTTCCAATTCCGGGACACTAGTCTGGACGATTCAGAATCTTGTCAGCCCTGGGTTCTGGGGTATATAAGCCCTTATGAGCCACAAGACTGACAAATGGAATCGATGATGAATCAACTTAGTTGAATAGGTAAATCATCATGTTTATCACCTATATGGAGGTTACCAAACGCATGGGGGTACCCCTAGTTATCATCCATTGATGGATTTTCCATGAAATAAACCATCCAGCGATAAAGGGCTTTCCCGATGACTATGGAAACTTCCAGATATAGACGGGCCATGGCTTCCATCGCAACAGGTGACTGTCTATGTGAAGTCGTTTAGATGATCCCAGCAATTTCCCAGCTTTTTCAATATCCAATCATATCCAATATCTCCATTGTGTTCTCTGGGATTTCCCAGCGTTGCAACAGAGTTGGCGACCCTCAGGTCCGGGCGAGGGCGACAACCGGGTCAGAGGAGTCGTGGAGCGGTGCAGAGCGAGGCGCGTTTTTTAAATCGCGGCAAGAGCCGATTGGTTTGCCCGGAAGGTTACAACATGTTACAACGGTGTTCAAACATTATCCTTGGACATCAAAGACCTGCGCAGAACGTGAAATCTCTGAATCCACCAGAAAACTGAGTGAGAAAACGCAGTATTTTCTGCAACATCTTTTATCATGTTCGACAACAGGGCATCCTCAACGTTGCAGTCTGGGCAAACCGGGGTCTGTGCACAATTGTAGGTATTATTGTGCCATTTGAACTGGTTCAATTAGTACAATTAGAACATATTATAACCAGCAAGGTTAACAATGGTTAATTGTACCATTATTGTACCATTATTAACTAATTATTAACATGGTTAACCAGTTATATTATTAATTGTAATTAATTGTACCATTATTAACATGGTTAACCTTTCTTTTTTAGCATTCAATATTTCTGCGATGCCCATCCAAGGTTCGTAAAATTCAGATTCCAACAGCACCAAAAAAAAATCGTGTGATGGAGCCCCCGCCCGTTTCCTGTGTTTGTTGGTTTATAAGCTCCGTTGGTTTTATAGACATATGAGCAATGGTCAATACTGGGTATTATTAACCATTAATAGGGGATGGTCATCCAATGGTTAATAGGTAATTATAACCCTGGCACATATGGATGTTTCCAAAGTCATGGGGGTACCCCCATGACTATCATCCATTTCTGGATGGATTTTCCCATGGAAATAAGCCATCCAGCGATAAAGGCGTACCCCCATGACTATGGAAACCTCCATGTCATGATATATATATATATATATATTGTACAAAGTGGGTCCCCCCAGTTTTAAGTTGGTGTATAAACCATAGTAACTATAGATATATTTGATATAAGCCAACAGTTCAACAAACCAGCGAGTCACGAGTCCCAACTCGCGCAACTCGCGCATCCTGCCGCGATGCCAAGGCTGATGTGCAGAGTGCGGCAATTGTAGTACCCTTGGAAGCGGGATACAGCGGTTACACCCATATATGGATGTGCATTCTAGGAATCGGATCCGTGGTTTATAACGGATATATGATATAATATGAATAATATGAATATACACATGAATGTATATATATATATATATGTATACATATGTATTATAGGCCCAAAAAGTCAATGGGAATATTCGATATTTTCAAACGTGGCTATAATGTGCTTATTGTATCTTATTGTTCCCATACTAAGTGGGATGCACCCCCCAAGTTGCGTCACAGGGGAGGGAACATTTTATTTTTCAGGAAACCCATATGGAACCCCTGTATTTGATGGTAAAACTCTAATGTTTTCCGGTTAAGATTTCCCTTCATCATCCTTCATCCAATCCATCCATCGATGCCCCCAAAGTAGTTGCCCCTCTAAGGCTTGGAAATCGGAACCCTTCAGCAGCTTTGATGCATTCCCAGTGCTCTCGCAGGCACCTTCTTCCAACGTTGTCGGAAGGGGTTGAACACAGATGGCTTGAGTAAAATCATCCCGACACAATGCAAGCTGATTTGATGCAAAATGAAACTGACTGCAGAGCTTTCGAACATGGAATCACAAAAGTAAAAGGCGTGGCATAGTATTATGACGCACTGAAGTTTTCGTTGGCCCAAAAAGCACCAGTCTTCAAGGAAAGTGTGACACCCGTGAAGCTCCATTGTGATCATGAAGCTCTTGAACATTGTCATCGTGTTGGCTCTCGCATGTGTTCCAGTGCAGAGCGATGAAGTGAAGAACCTCCGGGGAGAGGTAGCGCCGACTGAGTCTGGTTCAGCTGATGTGCCAGCAAAGGAGTCTGATCTCGACAAGGACACAGAATCAGAGGGACCAAGTGATGCCGTTGGGGTTCCAGAAAAAGAGCTGGATGCCACAGTCGAGCAGGGTGACCCAGGTGACTCCACTGAAGGGGCTGTTGCCGAGCCTGACGCTGCCGAAGCAGAGGCTACTGAAGGCGAGGAGGATCTGATGGTCCGAACATGCCGCCGTTGGGTGACTTGCCACGATGGCTGGTACGGAGGCATTCGCTGCTCCGGCGGCCGATACTGCACCCTCTGGCGTTGAGCTGAGCATGTAGCGGTGTCCCTGTACAGTGTCGAGGTACCTACTTGAAAGCTTGACGTGGGCCACATGTTGCAACCTTTGACTGTTTCGACATCCTTCGACCAACTAAGGGGTTGGATGAATTTGAGGGGCAGGACATTGTATGATTTAGGTCACAAAGACCTTCCACATTCCTGCATTATGTCATGAGTCATAGGAGTCATAGGTATGTCTGTCAACATCATACTGCGAGGTCGTAACGTTCAGCACGACCCATTGAAGTCTGGCAGCAAAAAAGCCATGCGTCGCTGCCATGCCTCTAAAATTTCCATCCACCAAGTGCAATCTCTCAATACAGACGGAGGTTGAGGTTGAACACAGAAGGCTGCTTGAGATTTCTTCAGTGGGTTTATACTGTACTAACATTAACACAATTGATTTGAACCTAAATGAAGCTGACATGTTGAGGAGCTTTTGAACATGGAATCAGAAAGGTGTGGCTTTTACTTGTAGTTAGTTCAGTGTGAGCCGTTTGGGCGAGTTTGTTTAGGAGACAATCTATAATTACATATGTATATATATATATATGTAATATGTATGTATAGATACACGCATATCTGTGCGTGTAGCTGCACCGCAGAAGTCAACACTGAACATCTTCTGCTGATCACTGCCAAACATCATGACTGCACTGAAGTTTTCGTTGGCCCAAAAAGCACCAGTCTTCAAGGAAAGTGTGACACCCGTGAAGCTCCATTGTGATCATGAAGCTCTTGAACATTGTCATCGTGTTGGCTCTCGCATGTGTTCCAGTGCAGAGCGATGAAGTGAAGAACCTCCGGGGAGAGGTAGCGCCGACTGACGAGTCTGGTTCAGCTGATGTGCCAGCAAAGGAGTCTGATCTCGACAAGGACACAGAATCAGAGGGACCAAGTGATGCCGTTGGGGTTCCAGAAAAAGAGCTGGATGCCACAGTCGAGCAGGGTGACCCAGGTGACTCCACTGAAGGGGCTGTTGCCGAGCCTGACGCTGCCGAAGCAGAGGCTACTGAAGGCGAGGAGGATCTGATGGTCCGAACATGCCGCCGTTGGGTGACTTGCCACGATGGCTGGTACGGAGGCATTCGCTGCTCCGGCGGCCGATACTGCACCCTCTGGCGTTGAGCTGAGCATGTAGCGGTGTCCCTGTACAGTGTCGAGGTACCTACTTGAAAGCTTGACGTGGGCCACATGTTGCAACCTTTGACTGTTTCGACATCCTTCGACCAACTAAGGGGTTGGATGAATTTGAGGGGCAGGACATTGTATGATTTAGGTCACAAAGACCTTCCACATTCCTGCATTATGTCATGAGTCATAGGAGTCATAGGTATGTCTGTCAACATCATACTGCGAGGTCGTAACGTTCAGCACGACCCATTGAAGTCTGGCAGCAAAAAAGCCATGCGTCGCTGCCATGCCTCTAAAATTTCCATCCACCAAGTGCAATCTCTCAATACAGACGGAGGTTGAGGTTGAACACAGAAGGCTGCTTGAGATTGCTTCAGTGGGTTTATACTGTACAAACATTAACACAATTGATTTGAACCTAAATGAAGCTGACA